AGCTACGATTTCATTTTGTTGATATGTCACATTACCATGGAGAGATCAAGCCTCAAAGTTGCACAATTTTACTATGTTAAGCCCAAAACTGTTGCATTACACATGATTTATATATATGGGGGGTTTTCTAGCAAAAGGTACCTTAAGTGCCCTCTGACCAAAATTGAGATTTTTGCATAATATATATTTATATCATAAGGATTATAACTGGTGAAAAAATCAGGTCATGTTTTTTAGTAAAAAAATGAGTGATTGGGCAATAAAGAATTTTTTAAATTAATTTGCACAAAATCTTGAGTTGATCTACAACCCCAAATTTTTATTAGTTACACAAAGTTTGATAAAAAATAAACGTTAATAATACATGATATTAATATTAATAATTAGGGTTTGGATAGAGAATATCTTTATATGGATTATCTACATACTGACAATTGTTGATATATAAATATTTTTTCTGGTCTTCTGATAAAGGGTCAAAACTTGTACTCTTAAAAAGGTTATAAGAATACTTTTAACCAATAATTAACCTAATTGTCAAGCTTAAACATGTCTAGTTAGCATAACAAAAAACGTGTCTCATGTTTTGAAATATATAGGTATAAATTTTTGTAAGGATCAGTTTGTTACATTATTATGGGATTTTAAAATACTACAACATTTATTCATTCAATAATTAAACATTGTATTTGCATAATAAGCAATGGATCTCATGTTTGGAAATATATATGTAACTTATTGTAAAGATTAGTCAAATATTTATTGAGAAAATAGAAATTTTGATATGTAGTGACAAAGGTCGTCGTAATATATTAAATATGTGATTAATGATGTTAACCAGTAGAAAAAATTTGGCCGGCTATATAAGCCGAACAGCTCTTGACCAGCTAAGAACTCAAATAACTCTCAGTTGATGAAAAAACTTTTAAGCTTGCAGGTATTATTACTGCTACTATGTTATTATTACTATTGTTATTATTATTATTGTCATTGTTACTATTTGATGGTTTGAATAAGGTTTATTGGAATTACATTGAATAAACAAATAAAACAAATAAGAATTTATATTACAAATAGAACTCTAACTGAAAGTTGTTCATTCAATGAAAGGAAAATATAATTATCGTTTTTAATAATAATTGATTTTTTTAAAGAAAAATATATTATAAAAATGATTATAATAAAATATAATATACCTTTCAAATGATCAAATGAGTAGAAGCTTTGTCAATATACCAGTCAATTCAACAATGTAATCAGCTTGGAATTTGAGTTGGATTTTTTCAGCACAACAAAATTTTCCATCCTTGACTCCCACTTGCCCTTTATATTTTCCACAAGTAGAATCATATCATAGTAAAAGCAAACAACAATATTAAAATTGTTTGATTAATATTAAAGAACATTTGATCCAAATTTCCCAATAATCAAAAAAAGATTAATACAAAAAACAATAATAAAAGATGAATGCAACAATAATAATAAAATAAGATAACAAACAATAAATCATCAAATTCCAAAGAATCTGTATAAATAAAGATGAAATTTTTCTTTTATCAAATTCTTACACAATTAAAAAATTCCATGATTAAAACCTTTGAAAATGTCTCAACAACAACAACAACAACAACAACAACAACAACAACAACAATCATCATCGTCCATTAAAAAACATGTATATATCTGATTTAAAATTATTTGATTTTAATATAAAACATAATAAAGGGTGCATAATTTGCATAATTTACCAAATGTTGCATGCATAAGTTAATGGAGAATACGTGGTATTGCATATCTACTTTTTATGGTAGGACTTTCCAACTTTTTTATTAACTTTACCCAAAAACTTTATTATAATAATCCAAAATTCAAATTCATTTCATCAATATCAATAATATCATTTTATTTCATAATAATTTCACATTATACATATATATAGGACAGACATTAAGTGAAATATACAATAACAAAGAAATTAATTATGAGGATAATGAATTTGATATTGAAACAGGGAAAGCTATTAAATGGTCAGTAGAGTATAATGAATATTTTCGAAATATCAGTATAAAAGCTCAAAAAATTGATAACAAAATAAATTCTCAATTTCCAACAATTGATAATGAGACAAAAGAAGAATTTTCAACAATTGATGAATATGGTCTTCAGACTTGGGAAAAGTTTAAATGTTGTAGATTACTAAATAATAATGATTTAATTTTAATAACACATGAATATATACACATTTTGACATTTAATCATCAAAATTCTAAAATATTTACAAAGTATATTATTAAAGAAAAATTTCATAATTATAGTAATGGAGGAGGTGAACATTTGATTGAAAATGAAAATGAAATATCAAGAAAAATCAAAATGGCTATAGAAAATAATAATATTGAAGGCTATTTATTTAATTTTAATGATGTTACTGAAGATGATTATTCATATATTGATAAACATCAAATTTCCAGACAACCTTATAAAGAAATGATTTTATACATGTTGGATGATTTATATAATTTGAAACACAGAGAAAAATTTTTAAGATTGGCATTAAAAGTAAATGATGGCATAGTTGTAGAAGAATTATTTAATTCCTGTCTTAAATATTTTCAAGAGGATACTGCAACAAATATTAGTTTATTAAAAATAATTATATCAGAATTACCAAAATTACAAAAAAATTATCAAAAATTATCAAAATTCTCCAATCAAACTTCAATGATATTATTTCCATTCAGTGATAACATTTTTAATGAAATTATTGTTTATAGTGCAATGGTTAATGAAAACTTTATTTCTAAAGATAAATGGTTTAAGTTTAGAAGGTTCAGAATATTTAGAATATCTAAATACTTTATTATATTTATAATATTTATAATATTTGGAATTTTTACATTTTTTGGAATATTTATAATGAAGCTATACAGAAGTTATAAGAGATATGATTTTAAACCTTGTGTAAGATTAATAATTCCATATCCTGGATTACTTACATACAAACTATACAAAACTAAATATTCATTATTTAAAGAATTATTATATAAGCCAGATAATAGTATATTTGTTAAATTAGTTGAATTGAATACTTTAGAATTATACAAGCATTTGAATATTGAACTAATTTTGGATTATAAATGGAACACTTTTGGATTTAGATATTATATTGGAATATTGATTTTTTATATAGTATTTTTATTAAGCTTTGCTATTGGAACTTTTACTTCACCAGATGGGTTATCTGATGATACTAGACATTCATTATTAACAATAACAATTGTCCTTGGAACAATTCATCTCACAGTATAGTGCAAGTCACTTAGTCCCACAACTTTCTGCGCCACACCGCCAATTTTGGGAAAAATTCCCAATCAAAAATGCAATAAAAATTTTATGGTCACATGATTTTTGTTTGTTGTAAAATTCAGTCAGGGAGATTTCCAAATTTGGAAATCAATTCTAGAAATTTTTGTTGATCAATTCATATACACTACAAATGA